AAAAAAAAAAAAAAGGTTTCCAGGCTGTAATCTTTATAGGAGCAGACAGCCACATCTTTCTTCCATAGAGTGGCTGGTAGGTTTGAACCACTTGACCTTTTGGTTAACAGTTGAACACTTACCACTGTGCTACCAGGGCTCCGTTTTAAAATAGATATATAACATAGATATATAATCTACTCCAGGTCACATATTGGGCTAAGTATCAAGGTACAAAGAAGAATGACACCCAGTCCCTGCCCTCAGTGAGCACAAAGTCTAAGCTATAGTATACAGTATAGCAGCCACTAGCCACAAGAAGCTATTAAGCTCTTGAAATGTAATTAGTCTGAATTGCTATGGGCTGTAAGTATAAAACACACAAAGAATTTTGAGCACCTAGTAGAAAAGAAAGGAGCCCTGGTGGCACAGTGGTTAAGTGCCAAGCAGCTAACTGAAAGGTCAGTGATTCGAACCCCCAGCCAGTAAGCAGGTAAAAGATGTGGCAATCTGCTTCCATAAATATCACAACCTTGGAAACCCTGTGGGGCAGGTCTACTCTGTCCATAGGGTTGCTATGAGTCAGAATCAACTCAATGGCACACAATAACAACAACAGTACCAAGAGAAGTCCTTGGGGTAGGGCAAACAATTAGCTCACTTTACTGCTAACCAAAGGTTGGTGGTTTGAGTTCACTCAGAGGTGCCTTGGAAGAAAGTCCTGGTGATTTATGTCCAAAAATATCAGTCATTGAAAATTCTACAGAGCATAGTTCTACTCTGACACACATGGGGTCACCATGAGTTGGAGTCAACTTCATGGCAAATGGTTTAGTAGCACAAAAGAAATAGAATGCAAAATGCTTCCTTAATGGTATCTATATGAATTACATGTTGAAACGATTGTATTTTGGATGTATTTGATTGAACAAAGCATTTTAAAAATTAATTTTACCTGTTTCTTTTTGCTTTTATATTTCTTTTTACTTTTTGTGAAATGTATGATCACATACATGGCTTGCATTATATTTCCTTTGGATGGTGCTGGTCTAGGAAGTGTAAATGGTAGGAACAGGATGAAGAAGGACTAGAAGGGCTACAGAGGAGTTTTAGAAAGTGGTAGCATAGTGCCTAAGGCACTTGACTGCTAACCAGAAGGCTGGCAGTTCAAACCCACCAGCCACTCCTCGGAAGGAAGGTTGGGCAATCCTACTTCCGTAGTGATACTGCCTCGGAAACCCAAGGAGGGGTCGCTATGAGTCGGGGCCGACTCGACGGCATATAACAACAACAACAACAACAACATATGAACGCCAAGGTATTAGGTCTTGACTGTGTGGGGCAGAGGAAGCTGAGGAAGGCTGGAGTCTGTGGCCCCAGAGGGCAGGGATGGAGGAGGTCACAGGAGGGTGCAGGCAATGGAGGAGGAAAGAGAAGAGCTTCAAGACAAAGGAAACTGAATGAGCAGGCACAAATGGGACATGTTTGGAAAGGAGTAAAAAATTTGTATGGAGAGTAGGGTTCAGAGAGGGAGTATGTAGATGAGGTAGAAAGGTAGGTTCCTGACAAAATTGGGGGTGTCATTTGCTCAACAGTCTTTGAACTAGCTGAATTTGGACTTTTTTCCTTGTTCACTTATTTAGAAAGCCAAGAATTTATACAGAAGAGAATTCCAGACTTGGCTGAGGAGAAAGAGGGTAATGAAACTCTGAAGAAAAATGAGCAGATAGTGTGAATGCAAATTCAGAAAAGTGAGTCTAGTATTAACTCTGTTAATTTTACGTGTGACCTCCATTGTGGTTTCCTACAATCAGATGGCGGGAGGTCACTGATACCTAAACACAGTCACCTAACTGCTCAGATCTGGGCTCTTCCATAATAGGCTGCTTATTTATGGCCTCTTTGTGCTCCAATTTTCCCATATGGGTGGGTGGCTACACAACTTCACAGAGTATTGACACGCAACAAAAGGCTTTTCATTTAAGCCAACACAGCTATACAATATTTTAAGAATAGGGAAAAAGAATGTGATGTTAAAAACAAAGGGGCGGGATAGTCAATCACAATGTAAACAAGGGATCCCAACCCCACACTTCCAGGACAGAAGGCAATCATCAAAAACAAACTAAAACCTGGAATAGCTTTTTGGTAACGGTGAAAACAAAACAGGAAAAATACCTATTGATTACAGCAACCAGTCTCTCAAGGAAAAGTTATTGGGAAAGACAAACAGAAGAGCTGGTTAGAAGCTGCCATGTTTACAGAAGTCTAGGTATATCTAGAAGAAGAGCACAGAGAGGCTCAGGAAGTGGGAAGTGTATTTCCGGATTTAGAGGTTTTATAGCCCTGGTGCTGCAATGGGTTAAGAACTCCCCAGCTGCTAACTGAAAGGCTGGCAGTTCAAACCCACTGTCAAAGGTCGACAGTTCAAAGTCACCCAGCGACTCTATGGGAGAAAAGACCTGATGGTCTACTTCCATAAAGATTACAGCCTAGAAAACCCCACAGGGCAGTTCCATGGGGTCACTAGGAGTCAAAAGCGACTCAGTGGCACCTATCAACAACAATACAGCTCTCTTTATTCAATACATCACTTTTGCTAAGCACTTACTATGTAAAAGGCAAAGGGTGCTACAGGTGGCAAGAAAGCCCTATAAAGTGATTTCTGCCCTCAAGGGCCAGGCAGTAGCTGGAAGAGACCCAGATCTGTTACAAGGCAGTATCAGAGAAGAACCACAGGACCTGAGCGGGGAGGAGAGAGACCTTTCTGAATAGGGAGATTAAATACAGATTAATAAAGGAAATGGACTTGAGATATACCTTGAAGAACTTGATGGCATTTCAATTAGTGAAGATGCAGAAAGATTAAAATAGAAAAGAAGAGAAGATGATATCAGTGAGAAAAAGAAAAGCCTTTTATTAGTTACTAAGTGAAGTTAGTGATTTCAACAGTTCATTTGTAATATCTTCAAGATTAAACTCACCCCTACCTCCCACACTCTATCATTACCTGTTTTACTTTCCTCAAATCAATTATCATTACCAAAAATTACTTTATTAGTCAACTTTTTTATTTCTATATTGTTGCCCTTAACTAGTGTGACTCTACTTCCCCATTTGCCTAAGACAGTCCCAGCTTATGCCTGTTGTCTAGCAAAATTTCACTCTTGAAAGTGTCGTGGTTTGAACGATAAATTACAAGTACACTCCTCATATAACTCACCAGGTAATTCTTACTGTAACTTAAATAATTTCCCACTTCTAGTTTTCTCCTAATATGGGTATCATTTGAAATAATCCTTGATTCAATTAATGATCGACCCATTGCAGTACATTTTTCCCCTCTCTTCCAATTCTCATGATTTAAACTTTGAAGAAAGACCTGGTGATTTACTTCTGAAAATCAGCTACTAAAAACCTTACAGAGCACAACAAACAGTCCCACCTGCAGCCCATCACCAGGATGGTGCAGGGCTCTCCATCAGTCAGGGGCTGATTGACAGCAGCTAACAGCAACCAACTTTAAAGACCTAGTCTACACCTTTTAAGACACCACTTACCTTTTTTAATAAAACATTATCTATACTTGCTTCATTAATAAATTCTCAGTTTGCCACACAAGCCACATCATATACTGGGAAAGTAATTCTAAACTGTCACTCTAAGATATTCAAACTATAAAGTGCAAAGAAGCAGGAAGTCGATTTTAGGAGAAAACCTGTCCTCTGTAAGAAGTTAGAATGGATTAGCAAACAAGTGTATGTCCTCAGTGGGCAGTAAATCAAAAAATTCTTTAGGCTCAAAGGCCTCCAGCAAGCAGGCTTCATCATAGGGAAGAACTGCTGAGTGCTGCTGAGTGACTTTTTAAATACCATAAACAAGGAGAAACTTGGCCTGACTAGTCATAGAGGAATGTGCTTACTGCACAATCCAGGCCGTAGTTGGGTTTCAGGGAATGAGAGAGCCATAAACCACCCTCATCCTTCCTCTCTCCCTCAGCCCTATGTGGCACGAACCTTTCAGATCGCCATTCCCATCCTTGTCGCTGTCCTTGAAAGACCTCGGGTAGATTTGGTACATGGGCCCTGCCTGCCACCAGTCCAGGCACTTTGGAGAGATGGCGATGATGGCTATGGTGATGCCAATCAGGACGAGCACCGAAGCCACGGTGAGCCAAAAAAGGACCTCCCGTGGCACCCGGTAGCGGGCCTGGCCTGAGAACTGGAGCAGCACCTCCTTGGGCATCCCCGCAAAGGGCTGCACGCCGGTAAAGTCCAGCGCCACGGGGCCGTGGATGTCCATGGTGTAGGGCTGAGGGTTGTCCTCCGGGCTGCCTGGATCCGGCTCCCTCTCCAGGATGTCTTCGTTCTGGACAAATCCGTTGTTTGTCCGGCATCCCTTCATACTTATTTGGAGGGAGTCTCTCTTGCCTTCCTCCTCAGCCATGCCTCACGTCTGGTCTCTTCTGAGAGCCTTCCTGCAGTAACAAAGGTGGAAAGGTGGCTTGCTGAGCTGTAGTGTAATTAGCTTTGCGTGGTTTATAAATAAACCTGGCTGGACTTTGTTCAGCCAAGGAAGAAAGGGTAAAGGTGAAGGGGCTTTAAAACAATCTCTTTTTAGTGAAGTATAAGAAAAAAGAAATAAACACTGGATTTTGCAAGGCCAAAGGAGCTTTGTTTTTGCCTCATTTTGAGGGTCTCCTCTTACAAATCCAAGATAGAACCCAATATATTAAGCTCCAGGAGGCAGGGAACCACAACACTATGTTATTGAAGCTATTTTTTGTTGTATGGCAGGCAGTTCCACCCTAGTTGCCTTTAGTCTTGTTTTCCATTTTCAGAAAAGGAAGTGGCTGCCTGTTCTTGGAAGCATTTCCAGAAGGCTGAGTGGGAAAAAGGATTCCATGTCTCTCTAGCAAGTTTAAGTGCTTTACCATAGGTAAAAATCCAAAAATCAAACCCATTGCTGTGGAGTCAATTCCAACTCACAGCAATCATGTAGGATAGAGTAGAACTGTCTCATAGGGTTTCCAAAGCAGTAATCTCTACAGAAGCAGACAGCCACATTTTTCTCCCACCAAGCAGCTGGTGGGTTTGAACCACTGCTCTTTTGGATATCAGCCAAGCTCTTTAATCTCTGTGCCACCAGGACTCCTACTATAGGTAAACAGTGCTTAACAGCACTGAGTTGTTTAACCCATTGACAAGTGTAAAATATATTTGCAATCTTGAGGAAAATTAGCTGTGCTTTCCTAGAAGACTCTGTAATGATTTATGGTTTCCATTTAATCAGAGGCACTTACGTAGACACATGAATCATTTGACAGGTAACAAAACCCTTTTTTTCTTTTAAATGAAGAAAGTTATCTCGGTCCCTAACTGTTGTTGTTGTAGTTGTTGTTATGTGCCATCGAGTCGCACCCGACTCATAGAGACCCCTCCTTGGGTTTCCGAGGCAGTATTACTATGGAAGCAGATTGCCCCATCTTCCTTCCGAGGAGTGGCCGGTGGGTTTGAACCACCAGCCTTCTGGTTAGCAGTCAAGTGCCTTAAGCACTACACTACCAGAGCTCCCCGGTCCCTAATATTACTGACTTTTTATGGAATAACTTAGAAGCAATGTATGGTGCAGAGGAATGAACTATTTGATCTTGGCCAAGTTTTTATTTATTTATTTTTAATGAATAAATTCATTGTCTGGCTCATTGAAGGCATCCAAGAGGTGGCATGTAATCATTATTAATTATGCATATTGTGTATTTAAAAAAATAAAGAAATTTGACTTTTATGTCTTGACAATGCTTTACCTCTCATAATTAATAATAGTAATTTTCACAATAGGAGCTTATTCTTGAAATTCAGTTATTATTTTTGGGGAAAATAATGCAGAAAAATACTCATAGTTTTTAAATAAATTTTAATTGTAAAAATAACTTTTAATTATAAAACTTTAAATTCTATATGTGCAATCATGTAAGTTCAGAGAAAACTCTATATTGTAGAAAAATTCCTTTATGACAGAACCATTCCATTCCATCTTCTATATATTTTATTAATAATAATAATAACAGCAATAATACTTTGAACCTCCTGGGAATGCAAACTGGAAGCTTTTAAAAAATAACCTGGAATAATTATCTGACTTTTTGAACAATAAAAGAAACTACAAAAAAAGAAAAAAAAAGATTGCTTGGATTGATTGAATAAATTTTTGAATTTATTATATAACAAAGCATATTAGTTGAAAAAAGTATGATCAACTAGGAAATATATTTGCAATAAATATGCCAAAGAATGTATATCTGTAACATTAAAGGTATTGTATATATTGAAGGAAAGAGCTCTGATGGCATAGTGGATAAGGCATTTGGCTGCTAACCAGAAGGTCAGCAGTTCAAACCTACCAGCCGCTACATGGAAGGACAATGGGGGTGATCTACTTCTGTAAAGATTTACACCCTCAGAAACCCAATGAGGGTCACTGTGAGTTACAATCAACTCAATGGCAGTGAGTTTGGTTTTTTGGTTTATATATTGAAGGAGCCCTGGTAGTGCAATGGTTAAGTGCTAGGCTGCTACTAATTGAAAGGTCAGTGATTAAAGCACTCAGGTGCTTACTCTGCATGAGAAAAGATATTATCATCCTCTGACCTCCGGTTCTAAGGACTTGAACCATTCTGCAACTTGACCCTTGGATTTGGGAATTGTCAGTCTCCAAAATTGAATGAGCCATTTCCTTAAACTCTCTCTCTTTCTGTCTTTCTTTATATATATATATATATCAATGGCTTTGGTCCTCCTGAGAACCCAGCCTAGGAACCCCTATGTGGCAGTTTTATAGGGTCAGTAGTTGCTGAAATAGACCTAATAGCACTCAATAACAATATATTATTTGGGAGCTCTGCTGGCATAGTGCCTAAGGCATTTGACTGCTAACCAGAAGGCTGGTGGTTCAAACCCACCAGATATAAATAATTTCTTAATATCAATTAAAAACATAACTATTAGCAGAAAGCTTGGAAAAATAATATAAGCAGATAATTCACACAAATACACTCACTAATATCAAGCAAATAAACAAACATTTTCCATCACATTTAGAAATTATTAGAAGACAATAGTGCTGGCAAGGACCCAGTATAAGTCGATACAATCATTCTAAAAAGTAATTTGCCACTATGTATGATGAGCTTTAACATTTTTCAGAGTACCAGACTTTAAACCAGAAACACCAGAAAAATGAGGAGTTAATACTAAAGAACGGATGGGCCACAAGATCAATGGAACAGATTAGAGCCAGCAAATGTAGACATAAGGGAATTTTAGAACATGAAAAGGCAACATTTTAAATCAGAGAGTAAAAGATTATTGAAAAAAAAAATGGCTTTGGACAGCTATTGGGGAAAGAAAATAAAGCTATATAGCTTACCTTATTCCTTATAACAAACTAAGTTCTATGAAGGTCAGATATAAAAGTGAAATATAAAACTTAAAATATACTAAACAGAGATATGTCTACTTAAAAACAGTCATCTTGGAATTTGGAATTCTTTTAAATATAAACAAAACCTACATCCCATGAAGGAAAAAATTGATTCCACAAGTTAAAAGCAAACAGAACAATCAACAAAGGCAGAAGGCAAATGGCAAACTACAAAAAAATATTTTAACACATGTGGCAAGTTAATTTCCATAATACAGATATTGATTTTACAAATTAACATGAAGAAAATTAGAAATGCAAATGGCTAAAAACACAAAATGCAAATGTCATTCAGAATTAAAGAAATAAAAACAAAAATAAAAGGATATTCCATTTCTACACTTTTTTTTGGCAAAAATGAGAAAGTTTGATAGTACTCAGTGTCCGAATATATACAGGGAATAGCACTCTCATCACCTCATGGTAGGACTATAGTACAACCTTTGTGTGGAACAGTTTAGGAGGTTAGGTCAAAATGGTAACTCTCATAACCTTTAGCCCAGAAGTTCCACTGCTAAAGATTTATTTTGTTGATCTCTAACCAACAAGATATATGTACAAGGATGTCCATTGCAATAAAACTTGAAGCACCCTAAATACCTATCAATAGGGAAATAATTTAAATAAATTATGTCATATTCACACAATGGAATGCCACCTGTGTCCTACACAGAATGTGTTTATCCATCTAGGCTGATTTTTTTTTTTTTTTTTTAATGTCCAAAATATAGTATGAAGTGAAAAAAAATTTAGAACAGTATGTATAATAGAAGTGAAATTGTGTGAAATAAATGACACACACATTTGTATATGGGATTAAATTTGCCACTAGTGGTTGACCAGACACTAAGAATAAGAGGCTAAAGACAAGAGTCACTGGACTTTTACACTTCACTTTTAGTATGACTAAATTTTTGTCCTCAGCATATGGGACTTTATTAACTAAAAAAAAAAAAAAAAAAAAAAAAAGGGGAGGTGGAGGGATAGTTTGTATCTTTTAATTCAGTAATCTAATTCCAAAAATCTATCTCAATGAAACAATCCAAGATGGGGTAAAAAATTTACGTATAAAAAAACGAAACTCACTGTTGTCAAGTCGGATCCAACTCATAGCAATCCCTCCTTGGGTTTCTGAGGCAATATCAATATGGAAGTGGATTGCCCCATCTTCCTTCCAAGGAGTGGCTGGTGGGTTTGAACCTCCAGCCTTCTGGTTAGCAATCAAATGTCTGAGGCACTATGCCACTGTAGCATTTATAAAAGCAAATATCAAAATCAACTTAAATGCTTAATGATAAGTAAGTTATTGTACATTCATGTGATAGTCAATGAACATATTTTCCAAGATTTTTTAGTGACATGGAAAACATTTCACAATAGTTTGAGAGGAAACACATCTCTCAATGGCATCATGTGGAGTGGAAAAAAGTATCCAATTATGTGAAAAAAATTCATGTGTATTTGTAAATTTGGACTAGATAATATGAATAGAATGTTTATCTCTGGAGTGTAAAATTATGGGTGATACTTAATATGCTCCTTAAGTTTTTCTGAGTTTTCTATTTTTTCAGTAATAAATGTGTACTACTCTTTCCCACCAGCCACTCCTCGGAAGGAAGGCTGGGCAATCTACTTTCATTGTGATACTGCCTCGGAAACCCAAGAAGGGGTCGCTATGAGTCGGGGCCGACTCGACGGCACATAACAACAACAACAACAACACTCTTTCCCACCAGCCACTCCTCGGAAGGAAGGCTGGGCAATCTACTTTCATTGTGATACTGCCTCGGAAACCCAAGGAGTGGTCGCTATGAGACAGGGCCGATTCGACAGCACTTAATAACAACAACAACAAATCTCTCAATTGGAAAAAAATTAAGTTGGGGAAAAATCTTGAGTTGGGAGTCTACCTAGAATTTCCAGGGAGGGTGGTAAGAGTTCAGTAAAAGGCGAGTCCTCCTCAC